GGTCTGAGAGAGCCGGGTCTGAGAGAGCCCGGTCTGAGAGAGCCCGGTCTGAGAGACCCCCGGTCTGAGAGAGCCCGGTCTGAGAGAGCCCGGTCTGAGCCGGGTCTGAGCCAGGTCTGAGAGAGCCGGGTCTGAGAGAGCCGGGTCTGAGAGAGCCGGGTCTGAGAGAGCCCGGTCTGCTGTTGATCTAAAACAGGCTCCAACACACTTGTCAGCGAGGCAGAGACTTCAGAAGCGGCTCTCATCTGGATGAGTTAACTGGGCCTCATCTGCATAACAATGAGCAGAAGGGTTGGTGGGGGTTGTCACAGTGAGACGACAGGACGGAGAGAGGGCCGCTTCCCTAACACAAACCTGATTACAGACTCACTCTGTGTCCGTGTTGAGGACATAAGACAGGCTGGTGACATCAGCTCCTCCTCAGACTGGGACAAACCTGCCTCTGTGACCACTGGAGCTCTGACCACCGACAGCTCCCACCTCTGCTGTATTTATCACAAAGTAAGGACACAGAGGTGGTCTGTCAGAGTCACACACGCAGCACTTATGCAATCATCTGTTGCAGTATTTCCACCAGCCTGTGCGGGAGAATGCAACCTGCTTTACAGCCATCTGTTCAGAACCAGAACCAGAGCTGAGGCTGAGAACGGCCGGCGGATACAGGAGGCTGCTGACCCGGAGCTGGGAGAGGACCACGTCCTTCACCAGAACAGCAGATCTGGATGAGTTCAGTCAGAGGTTTCTGCAGTCCCACCAAGGCAAAGGTTAGTAACCAGTCATCCCAGACACAGCACAGCTTTAATGAATTACAGTAAAAAAATAAATAGTACAGTATGTGTAGGATTATATTCAGTTTAACGTTGGTCATTTTGTACAGGGCAAAAACAAAATGAGCTCTTTCAAATACCACCTTTGGTTGAAGTAAACAATGAATTCTAAAAGGTAAAACATTACCCATTCAAGTGGAGGAAGAAACTGCCAGAAAAGACAGGTTTCTGACTAGGGGAGTCCAGATCCACAGGCTGCGTCCCTCTAACCGGAATGGAGCCTGAGAGCTGACGTCTGGAGTGTTGAGCCTGATTTGCTGTGCATGGAATGAAAGCCATCAGGAATCAAAGTATGCGCATTTCCATGGACAAAAAAGTGTCGACAGTTGCAGGAAAAGTGTGTAATTTATGCTCTTCTGCCGCTTTGTGCTTGCTGCCATCAGCCTCACATTCTGACCTCTGTCCAGGAGGAACCTGCTGAAGTGTGTAACATGCACTGACCACCATCACCACAGCAGCCTCTCACTCCACTGACCACCAAAACGTGGAATGTCTATGGAAATACGCTTCAAAACACAAAGCTTCATACACTTATGAAATTCATAGATAAGCTAATGTGGACAATGTGGAAATTTAGAATCATTTCAAGGCTGACTAAAACGTGCATGTAACATGATGCCTTGTGAAATATTTCACTAACAGTCATTTCTAGTGATGTCACATTTGGTTTTAAATACCAAATTTGACCATGTCATACGTTAAATATTTTGGCCTTTTCTAAATATGAAACTAGGCCTACTTAAACAAAGAAACAGAAAAATGCACTCAGAAACGGCCTGAACTGACCTCTGGGTGCGTATGGGAAGCAAGCGGACAGGCTCTCAGATGGACACGTGTTGGCTGAGGTCATGGATGTTGCAGATTACACAGCTGGAACCCTTGTTAGCAGGTTTGATTACATACAGCTCTGCAGAGCTCAGCCCTCCCATTAAGCCACTCACACCGACACGCTTTGGTCGGACAGAAAGAGCCTTTTCTTCTTTAATCCCATCCTTTACACTAATCATGTTTACAACACGAGCTGCTGCCTTATGAAGCCACATTTGGAACAAGAATGTCATCGTTCCTGGTTTACTATCTAACAGTTCATTCATCAGTTTAGTGACAGGGCTTTCTTTCATTCAGAGCCACCCTGCCATCAGGCCCTACAGCGGGTTTCTCAGCCCTGCTCCTCAGGGCCCAGTGTCCCTCCTGCTGTCCAGCTCCAGCCCAGGACCAGGACCAGGACCAGGACCAGGACCAGGACCAGGGCTGACCCTCTCACCTGGAGCCGGAACACGTGCAGGACTGTGGGTCCTGAGGACCGGGGCTCTACAGAGCCGACACCCGGTGAATGTGGAACAACATCCGGCTCAGCTCGTGCACCAGGTGGCACAGTTGCTGCCCCCCCCCCCCCCCCCCCCCTCCCCCAAAGACAACTGGTATAGGAGGTACACATGAACTGCATCGTCTGGTGTGAGGGAATAAGCGGTTACGATAATGGATGGATGGATGGATGTCTGGTGTGGAGGAAAATAAATGACTCAATGTGGAGCTTTATGGAAGTGGAGAGACCTTCTATTTATACTCAAATGGCTCCCTATGATATTAGGTAATATTATAGTATTGCATAATGATAACACATCATCAAATACTGTTATAATTGTTAGAACATTAGTGCTTGGTGCCATAACATTTAACATTTAAAATAGGGGCGGGGGTCAGAACTCCAGCGGTGATACTGGCTGCGCTCTCGCGCCCCCTGCTGCCCCGGAGGTGCATTTCCACCTTACTCCACTTCTCCTGCTCATTTGTTGACGGTACAGAGGTGGTGCACTTTTAGAGGGTCCCGGTTCGACTCCCTGGGACCGGGGACCTCTGTGTGGGGGGTGGGGGGGTGGGGGGGGGGGATGTGGCATTTGGTTGTAATCCTCACCTTCTGGCCCTAGATGTCCCCGTTACCCACACAGGCAGATCCAGATGACAGCTAGGCTGTAAAACGGAAGAAATCCTTTTTCAAGTCAATATTCAACAATACTTTTTATAACATGGAAATAACAAAGAATAGTAACCGTAATGTCAAGTGTGATGTAGGAGTCCCCTATAGCTGGACAAACAGCCGGGGCTGCTTAAACATGCCTGTGTTGTGATCAGGAGGCTGTGCTGCTGTGGACCTGAGGCCTGTAGAAACGGTTTCTCCACAGCGTGTGTGAACGGTGGCGGCCGTTTCCACCGGGTCCAGGGCCCTACTTCCTCCAGTGCAGACGCTTTGATGGATGAACTGGCCAGTGCAACCCCCCCCCCCCCCCTCCCCGAGCCCCACATCTAAAAATACTGAATATTGGTGACACACTTCCCAAAGTAGGTGCTCCAGAGGGTGTGAGTCCTTCTGTGCTCCCTCCTCATGTGGAGGCACACGGGGCCAGAACGGTCAGCAGAGCCTCTTCTGTGGACGGGCGGCTGGTCATCTTCTGTGGACGGGCAGCTGGTCATCTTCTGTGGACGGTCAGCTGGTCATCTTCTGTGGACGGGCAGCTGGACCTCTGCCAGCAGCCGTGTTGCTTCTCTCTGTTGTTCTTCAGCTGTAAGATGAGCTGGAGATTAACATCAATATTTTAGTGTAGCCAGCTAGAAGGGGTAAAACTGGCTTTAGTTCACTTTGGAGCCATCGGTGCCTGGGCTTCTCCTTTTGTAGTTTAATCGTGTTCAGGATCAGAAATCAGTCAAACACCTGCTGGAAAGGAAGATAAGCTGGTCATTCTTGTCCCTATCGGACATTTATTGAATCAGTAAGTTTGAACAAACGTCCCCAGCCTAAACACCAGACCGCTGCCTCTGTATTCCAACTGTTATGCTCATTCAGTGACCGTTCAGGGGGTTTCTTTCTTTAGTCTCTGCACAGATATCTTGGGTTAGCTGAACTTCTCCCATGTGGTAAACCAACTAAAAGTCTAGGTGTGGATCCTGTACAGGGCATCTGCGGGTCCCTGGTGCCCGCCTGAGCCCTTTTCCATTGTTAACAGAGACGGGGGGGAGGACGGAAGCAGCAGCCACGGCCACCAACCACTTTATAAAGATCTAGACCCGCTTTGAGGGCCGAACCGCTCCCACACGGGGGTGTTTGCCCCTTTAGTGTAAAGCGGTGAGGCTGAATGGATGTGTGTGGTGTCCTGTGTGAGCTCTGGGGGGTTCTGGGTGATGAACTGAAAGACAACCTTTCTTTTTAAAAATGTTTTATTTAAAGTTATAAATCTATCGGTTCCCCCGCCAGCTCTTGTGTTGAGCTCCGTGGTTTCTGCCCTGATCAGCGTGTTCTGAAGGGGTTCCCAGACCTCTGCCCCGGAGCAGGGCCCTGTCAGACTGTCTGAGGCCCACATGGATGAGAACAGCTCAGCCCGGCTCCAGCAGAGCACTCCCAGTGCCCCCGGACACAGAGCCTTCATGGGAGACGGCGTGGGGCATGGTGGGATGCTGGGGGGGTCAGCAAGAGGCTGGACTTTCCTCACAGTCCCGTTAACACATCCCCTGTGTCTGTTTTTAGCGTAGCTCCTTTTGTTTGGTCCTTTTGGTGATTTGGCGTCTTCTGGAGGGACGCTGCCAGACGGGTCCTCGTCAGAAGCCACATACAGTTTAGCAAACAAAAACATCTCTGAGGGCCGTCCACCAATGGCCGGCCTGACCAAACCCCTGTGAGAGTGGAGGCTTGGGGGATGGGGAAAGCACTATTAAACAACAAAAGTCACCACACCTCCACAAACAACATCAAATACAACTTCCATTCAGTCAGATCTCCCTGAAACAGGACTGTCACAGGGCAGGAGGCCACGCTACCCCCCCCCCCCCAAACCAGAGCTGTGCAGAGCCCCGTGGCTTCACAGGAACTTCCCAGAGGCGGTTCTTTCTTCTCCTTTTCCTTAAAGCAGTTCTCTCAACATTAATGGTGAGAAAAGAAGACTTCTAAAAATGAAAGGAGGCTAAGACTGTCCAGTCTGACATGAACCAGGCCACAAAGCTGAGCAGCGTAGACTTTTACAGGGGGGGGGGCACTGGGAGTGGACAGGCTGGTGGGCAGTGGTTTGGCCTCTCACCTGCCTCCTAAAAACCGCCCAGCTTTCAGCATTTGGGGAAAACAGCCTCTGAGACAAAAGCTGCTGAGCCTCCAGGTCTGTCAGGGCTGTTTATTTCTGCTGAAATGTAATGAGTGATTATGTGTAAATAAAAGATGAATGGAGCCATAGGCCAGCGCTGCTGCTAACAGCCCGCTCCAGCTCCCATCAGACCGCCTCTCATCCATTATTCAGCCCACAAATGTTTAAACACATTTCTAACTTTTTTCGTAATACATCCTAGTATTCCGATTAAAATCACGGCTAGAGCAGCAAATTACTACAAATGACTGAGGGGCTTTTTTCTTAAGAGTGCCTGTGCTGACTCACGTTTGTTGCCTTTGTCTAACCGTTTGCTCTACAATAAATAAGAGATGCACAGATATCCACAAAGCAAAGAGGACTAAGAACAGAAGAATGTGGGAAAGGCTTAGATTACATGAAGGCTGGAGGGATAAAGTAACCCCTCCAAAATAGGCTAATTATGGTTTTGCCTTGGGCAGGATGCAGCCTCAGAGGGCTCTGGTTGGCATGTGATGGAGATTGCTTACAAAGACACTAACCCTTTAAACCACATCGCTCTTTAGGTGTGTGGAGTCCACTCGTCCTCTGAGCATTAAGAGAGCCTTTGGTTAGCATGTCGGCTAAGCTAGCAAAAGAAAGAGTGATTTATGTAAGTGGGCACTGACTATAAAAGGCATTTTCATGTCAGGCTGTAGTGAGCATGCACTTGTGGGTAATTCATGAAGAGAATGTATGTTCCAGAGCAGCAGCATGAGAACCACCATCCCCAGCTTTCCCTCCAGCTCTGCAGCACACAAACCTGCTCAGTCTGTTCAGGGGCTGATAGATAGATGTGCCCCCCCCCCGGCAGCTCAGTCTGGGGGGGTGAAGCCCAGCGAGCAGCAGCTCTTCCTTCAGCTCGGTGAGCGTGGAGCTTTGAAGCCAGCCGTTTCCAACAGGATGAAGAAATAAACGGCTGATATGAGCTCACTGACTGGGAGCTCACTCCCACATAAAGACACGAGGCTTTGGGTTGTTGTCCGCCCCCCCGGCACACGGCACCGACCTCTGTTCTTGGGGGGGGGGACACCACCTGGACTCCAGAGGAAAGCCGCTCTGCTCTGAGCTGCCTGGACCTCAGCCTGTCCAGATGGATGCACACCACCGTCCTCCTCTCCACCTGTGTCATGGAGGAGAGCACATCCATCACAGCTCCCCCTGTCTCCGACATGGAGCTGGACTGAAGGAGGTGTGTGGATCCAGAGCTGGGTCAGAGTCTAAACACAGGAACCAGCTCCAGCGTGGTCAGCGGGCAGAGCGGGCAGCAGCGCCTGGGTCTGCGCTGACAGAGCGCTGAGCTCCACAGGGGGAGGGCATGGAGCTGCTCGGGGGGCAGACACTGGGCTGGTGGCCCCCGGGGTTCAGTCCAGATGCCTGCAGAAGCCCCCCCGGCCCGGACGAGGCTGGACCATGCTGCCCTGTGCTCAGAAATAAGCCTGGGTCCTTCAAGGGGAGTGCCCCCCCCCGCCTCAGCCCAGGGGGCCCCCCCCCCCCCCGGCCCCACCGAGTGGCTGCCCCCCCCCCGCTGCCTGTGTGACCGCCTCTGTTTGGTGTCACATGTCAGAGGCTGTGAAGCCGCCTTTACCCCCCCCCTCCCCGTTGATTAGCGATATGGCGGCTCCGGCTGCTGGGGGCTGGGCCTGTGGAGCTGCTGGACCCGGACCGGCCGCCCGTGGGCCGGCCAGCCTCCTGGGAGCTGACC